AAAAAAAAAAGAAAAAAATAAATCAGGACAGCCAACTAGGTTCATACAGGCACATAGGGGCTAATAAGCTATAGGTGCCCATGTGATTTGGAAATCTCAATAGTATAAACAGGCTAATATATTTGAAAATTAGAATATGTCATGCAAAAAAAGGAAACTTCATTTTCATTGAATTTAATTTTGGCCTCAAGCAAAGGATGTTGGAATAGATATATCACAAATTAATGTGTATAAAGCTCTATGCATAAGGACTACTCATGAATCTCTTTGATCTTTGCTACGTTTTTAGTTAACAGGATTGTTAACCTTTGCAGGCATTGACTGCCTGTTTACTTTTTAGCTGAAAGGTTAAGAAAGCTTTTGTGGGATCATGCATTAATATGTAGTAGACAATGTTCTAATAAAGGCTACACAAATATAGATTTGAATTGAAAAATTTTAAAATACCTTAAATTGAAAATATGCTCTTGGCCCAGTTTTCAGTGAAATAATGTTTGGTTTCTACACATCTTCTGAGAGCTAATATAACTCTCTAGATCAGGAATTAAATGGTATTTTAGAAGAAAAGAATATATGGTCTATTGTTCATTATTTAGTTATTTATATTAATTATAGTAACTACCCAGGTAGGCATCAGCTCTCCCAGGCTAAATACACTTGTCAACTTGTTTGCATTTATAACTGCTGCACAATTAATTCAAATGACTAAGTAGGGAATTTGAAAAGCCCAACAAAATGCATGGGAAACTTTCAACTTGATATATCATGATCATTACCAGTGATGTTATCACTTTGTTTAAAATCATTAAAAAGTAACTTTGAAAAAGTTAAGACTACCTTCAGACTTGCTAAGATAATATATTAGGTACAGCTTAAATTATAATGTGTATTCTTTATTAATATTAGAGAAGGTTTTTCTTATTCTAAATGACAGTTAAACTATTGACACTTTTGTCAGTTAAGGAATAATAACAAATTATTATAATTGTGATTTTTTATGTGACAGGCTCTGTTCTTAGTGCTTTTTTTTTTTTTCTTTTGAGATAGAGTCTCACTCTTTTGCCCTGGCTAGAGTGAGTGCCGTGGCGTCAGCCTAGCTCACAGCAACCTCAAACTCCTGGGCTCAAGTGATCCTCCTGCCTCAGCCTCCCGAGTAGCTGGGACTACAGGCATGCGCCACCATGCCCGGCTAATTTTTTCTATATATTTTCAGTTGGCTGATTAATTTCTTTCTAATTTTTTTTTTTAGTAGAGGCGGGGTCTCGCTCTTGCTCAGGCTGGTCTCGAACTCCTGAGCTCAAACAATCCGCCTGCCTCGGCCTCCCAGAGTGCTAGGATTACAGGCGTGAGCCACCGCGCCCGGCCTGTTCTTAGTGCTTTATATATATTAATTCATTTTATTCTCATAGTAACCCTATAAGGGAAATACTGTTATAGATGCCACTCTAAAAACAGGGTAGGTAATTTACCCAGGGTCACACTGAGTCACAGAGAAAAGATTTAAACATAGGCAGACTAGCTTTTGACTATTGTCCTCTGTATTTGTTTTTTTTTTTTGTTTTGTTTTTTTTTGAGACAGAGTCTGGCTCTGTTGCCCTGGCTAGAGTGCCGTGGCGTCAGCCTAGCTCACAGCAACCTCAAACTCCTGGGCTCAAGCGATCTTCCTGCCTCAGCCTCCCGAGTAGCTGGGACTACAGGCATGCGCCACCATACCCGGTTAATTTTTTCTATATATATTTTTTTAGTTGTCCAGATAATTTATTTCTATTTTCAGTAGAGACGGGGTCTCACTCTTGCTCAGGCTGGTCTCGAACTCCTGACCTTGAGCAATCCACCCGCCTCGGCCTCCCAGAGTGCTAGGATTACAAGCGTGAGCCACCGCGCCCGGCCTTTGGTTTTAGACAGTACAAAATGGCTTTGGTTAACTTAAGCCAAAAGAAATTTAGTGGAGGCATTCACAGTCAACCACAGAGTGAAGAATTGTTTGAGAATGAACAGGGGCCAGAGTAATTCCAGAATTTGTAAACAGGATATAGGAACCCTCAACAGAGGTCTCATATCAGTTTGGATAGGATCACCCTGAACTTCTTTGGTTTTATAGTCTTTTTGCTTAAGATTCAAATTCCAAGAAGGTAAAAATCAATTGGTTTATTTTGAGTAATATGCCATTCTCTCGATTAGGATAGAGTAGGATCCCTGAATTTTAGTCCTTTGAGATTATAATGAGGAAGAAGTATTGCAGTAAAGTAAATTGTGGTACCGTTAGTAAGGGAAATGGATGCTGGTCAGGTGATATCTAACAAATTTTCACTGTTAGAACCCTATATAGACAACAACAGCTTATTCAGAAAACAATTATCGAGTGCTAATTTAGGGACCTACACTGTTCTTTGTTTAGCACTGCTTGTCATAGAAGGTGAAGCAGTTGGAAAAAAATAGATGAAAATTGTGAAATGTCAAGTCATGATAAAAATCTTTAACAGGTGTTACTGATTTTATTAATATATTTCTTTTTAGGAGTTAGTCATATTCCTAAGTACAGTAAAAGTAGCTCCTTTAGCTGAAAGCAGTGGAAACTCATATAAGTAGGGTCCAGTTTTTACCAGTTTTGTCTCTAGAGTTTTAAGTACTTTCTCCTATACTGTATTGTCTCCCTGTCAGTGAGAGATACTGTGCTTGTCATTTCCTTTCTGAATGTAGTGAGAAGGTGCTATCTTCATTAAAATTAATCTCAGAAAAATTACTTGGGTTTTGATAATGCACAGTGAAATTATGCTAGCAAATTGAAAGGACAAAGAATCAAAACAGTAATTTAGATAGGTCCTGATTATTCAGGTGATTTAGAGAAAAATATTTCCTAAAGTACCAAGAGTATATTGCTTTAATTTTCTCCCCACTTTGCTTAGTGCTGGACTGAGGAACATTTTAATAAATAGTTGATTTTGAAAAAGAAATTGTAAACATGGGAAATATAACCTGAAGTGACTATTTAGTTACAGGAAAAAAAAATATTTGCTTTAGTTTTACATAGATTTGGAAATATCTCCTAACATTTCCTCCCTATCGTGTGCTCAGTACTTTTTCATGACATTTATGGTATATTATTAACAACATTTGTTTACCACAAAATATTTTAATATATATGTGTGTGTTATATGTGTAACATTTAAAATTACTCTTTAAAATAGGAACAAAAGGTCCAGTTACGTCTTCTGGCTAAAGAAGATTATCATAAGCAACTAAATGAAATCGAGAAATACTATGCCACTATAACAGGTCAATTTGGATTGGTAAAAGAGAATCATGAAAAGTTAGAACAAAATGGTATGTGCTATCTTATTTTAAACTTGCATGTTTAATAGGGAATGTTTAAGTGGACTTAAGTTATTATAAATAAATTCAACTTATACTGGTAATAGTAAATGGCAGTTTAATGATTGTTATTTAAATTAAATGATCATTATATACATTGCAGTGGTACTATTTTCCCTGTTCATGGTAGTGATACTTTCTTTGAAATGTACATTGAATATAATTTCCTAAATGCCTTTCATATTGCAGTACAGGAAGCAATGCAATTAAACAAAACACTTTCAGCTTTAAATAAAAAACAAGAATCTGAAATATGCAGTTTAAAGAAGGTATGATTGATATAGTTTTATACTATTAAGTAAAAATTATAGTTTAAAGTAGTCTTATAGAATATTACTATAAAACAATTGGGTAGATTTTTTTCGTGGAAGGATAAATAAAATATTTTAAATACAGATTCATAGAATTCAAGTTAGGATTCCAGTAAATGTAAAAAATTCCAATCTATGCAAAATATTATTTCTTTGACTTGTGACCAGTGGCATACATATTTATGGTGACATGAATACTCAATAAGGATTCACTGTATGTCAACCTTATTAGCACCATTCATTCATTCATTCATTCAATATTTATTGAGTGATTTCTGTGTCCCAGGTACTGTGGCACTAAGGATACAGCTATGAAGAAAATAAACCATGTTCCTGCTATTAGGAAGTTTATGGTCCAATGGGGTGGTTAGACATAAAAAAATTTATCACACAGATTAAATAACTTAAAACTTGTAAGTGAGCTGAAGAAAACGTAAAGGATGTGATGATATAATAACAGGCGACTTTATTAGATTGGGAGTTATAGGGTGGAGGAGGGAAGAGAATAATGAATGTGAAAAAGCCTTGAGGCAGGAAAGAGTTTAGTACTCTAGTACTTTAGTTCCTCTGGAGGAACTAGAAAAAGTCTAGTATCGCTGAAGCATCATGAATGAAGATGTGCATTAAGTACTTACTGTTTGCTTACCAAACACCAGTATCTTCTTTTCTTGTCCCTAACCTTATCCAGATTTTTTGATGCCTCCAGCTTTAGAGCTGATCCCTAAATTGGCAGAAGGTCACAAACATATTTCTTTCCTCTGGCCATAGTCATTGGTTCGGGAATGGGCAAATGATCTTAGGTAGTTTCTGGTTATAAACCAGGAAGAAGGTAACCTCCACTGTGGCTGACAGTCAACCTATAACCATGAGAGAAGCTGAAAAGGAGAAACCTGACAATATGGATGCCAGATTGGTGTGACATAAGGAAACCTGTTCTTTGATGACATTATTTAGTGTCTGGATCAACACACCCTGCGTTGTGTCCTACCACTAGACTTTTTAATATGTGGGCCAATTAGTCCCTATTACTATTTAAGCCAATTTGGTTAGGGCCAAGTCAGTTTTCCATTATTTGCAACTAAAAATATCCCAACTGATATAAAGGGAGGGTTGGTATGACAGAAAGAAGAAGTATGTAAGTCTTTTTTCTTTCTACAGAGAATGACCTCTTGTTTCCCTTCCCCATTCCCTTCAAAGCCCCATCTCAAATAATACCACTTTGAATCATTTTAGGACCATCACCTTACCCCTGAGAAAATTAAGTACCTATCCTTACTGGCACTCCATAAATGTTTTGAAACATTTACTGAGTACCATTTAAAATGCACTTTATTTGTACTTATTTAATTTATCGATGTGTGATATACTTCCATTTGTCCCTCCACATACAGACTTGCCCCTTGAAGGCTTAACTATATGGATTGCATCAATGGGCTTCCGTATCTTCTGGCCTCCTGTTGAGCCGGGCCAGTGGAAAGCCTAGGCAGGATATAGGAGAATGGAAAGAGTGAATCAGGGTATTTATTTCCCCTGTTTCCTCCCTGTAAAGTAACTTCAGGCTGGCCATATCCTTTAACAAGTCACTACTTCTCTCAAATTGGCCTAATCTACTTGATACTCTTTCTTTTTTGGGTTCCAGTAACCTTTCTTCTCATCCTTTTTAGATTAGGGGTGGTGACAGCTCCATGGCTACTAGCCTCTGGAACTTGCACCATCCCTTGTAGTTCCTTTATATCCTGTCCATGCCTTTGCAAATAAACCATCTTCAAATTATCCTAATTTATGTGTGCCATCTGTTTCCTGTTGTGATTCTGACTATACATTTGGTTAGGGTATAACATTAGTAAACCAAAGCTATGAATTCAGTTTCTGTATAGGATAGGTGATTCAGTACAGAGAAAATTCTATTTCACAGTCAAAGATTGTACCCTAAACCACACCTAGCCATTTTTCAACAATGTATTTTGTATTCTAAGGATAAATGGAATGGTGGTTTTCAGATACATCAGTTTTGAGGAGAAAATAATTTCTACTAATCTGGGTCAGTGTTGTCATCTTGACTCTAAAGGATTCTGCTATTTTTTTTTCTTTTTTTTTTTTGAGACAGGGTCTCACTCTGTTGCCTGGGCTGGAGTGCAGTGGCATCTTCATAGCTAAGTGCAACCTCAAACTCCTGGGCTTAAGCCATCCTCCTGCCTCAGCCTCCTGAGTAGCTGGGACTACAGGCACATACCACCATGTCTGCCTTATTTTTTCTGTTTCTGGTAGAAGCGGGGTCTCACTTTTGCTCAGGCTGGTCTTGGACTCCTGAGCTCAAGGGATCTTCCTGCCTTGGCCTCACAGAGTGCGAGGATTACAGGCGTGAGCTACCTTGCCTGGCCAGATTCTGCTTTTAAAAGGATAAAAATACCAAAAAACAAATCCAAGCATATATACCTTTATATATACATAGACTTTCACTATTTTAATATAATTTAATATATTTTCATTAATAAACTATTTTTCAGAGTAACTATTTTAGGTTCACAGTAAAGTTGAGTGGAAAATACAGAGTTCCCATATACCCCCTGTTCCCACACATGTACAACCTCCCCCACTGTCACATCCTCACCAGCATTTGGTGTTGTCAAAGTTTTGGATTTTGGTGGTTCCAATTGGTCTGTGGTAGTATCTTGTTTTGATTTGCGATTCCCTAATTACATATAATGTTGAAAATCTTTTCATATGCTTACTTGTCATCTGTATATCTTTTTGGTGAAGTGTCTATTCAGGTCTTTGACTCATTTTTGAATTGGATTGTTTTCTTGTTGAGTTTTAGGAGTTTTTTGTGTATTTGGATAGCAGTCTTTCATTTTTATTACATGAATCTTTTGCACATATTTTCTTCTAGTCTATGGCTCATCTTTTCATTCTTTTGACAGTGTCTTCCAAAGACACTGTCTTAATTTTAGCAAAATTCAGAATTTCAATTCTTTCATGGATCATGCCTTTTGGTGTTATATCTAAAAAGTCGTCACCATATCCAAGGTCATCTAGATTTTCTCCTAATGTTATATTCTAGGAGTTTTATAGTTTTGCCCTATTACGGTTTGGTCTGTGATTCATTTTCAGTTAATTTTTGTGAAGAATGTAAGGTCTGTGTCTAGAGCCATTTTTTTCCACATGATGTCTAATTGTCCCAGCACCATTTGTTGAAGAGACTATCTTTGCTATACTGTGTTGTCTTTGTACCTTTGTCAAATATCTATTAACTATATTTATGTGGGCCTATTTCTGGACTCTGTATTCTGTTCCATTGATCTATTTGTCTGTTCTTTATTTATTTATTTATTTTTTTGAGACAGAGTCTCGCTCTGTCACCCGGGCTAGAGTGTCATGGTGTCATCATAGCTCACAGCAACTTCGAACTCCTGGGCCCAAGCGATCCTCCTGCCACAGCCTCCTGGGTAGCTGGGACTAAAGGCGCGTGCCACAATGCCCGGCTAATTTTTTTCTATTTTTAGTAGAGACAGGGTCTCACTCTTGCTCAGGCTGGTCTCAAATTCTGAGCTCAAGCAATCCTCCTGCCTTGGCCTCCCAGAGTGCTAGGATTATAGGCGTGAGCCACCACGCGCCCAGCCTATTTGTTCTTTTGCCAATACCACACTGTCTTGATTATTGTAGCTTTATATTAGAGTAAGTCCTCCAATTTTATTCTCCTACAGTATTGACTTGGCTATGCTGGAATTTTTTGCTCTCCCTGTAAACTTTAGAATCATTGTGTTGATATCCACAAAATAACTTGCTGGGATTTTGATTGAGATTGCATTGAATCTATAGATGAATTTGGGAAGAACTGATATCTTGGCAATATTAAGTCTTACTTTTCATGAACATGGACTGTGTCTTTATTTAATTCTTCTTTGATATCTTTCATCAGAGTTTTGTGGTTTTCTTCCTATAGATATTTTATATATTTTGTTAGATTATACATAAGTATTTTATTTTTTGACTGCTAATGTAAATGTTAATGTGTTTTTAACTTCAAATTACACTGGTTCATTGTTGTATATAGGAAAACAACTTAACTTTTATATATTAACCTTGTATCCTGTAATCTTGGTATAATCGCTTATTAGTTCCTGGAATTTTTTTCTCAATTTTAGATTTTCTACATAGATGATCCTGTCATCTGTAAACAAAGACACTTTTGTTTCTTCCTTCTCAATATATATACCTTTTACTTCCTTTTCTTATCTTATTGCATTAGTTACGACTTCAAGTATGATGTTGAAAAACAGTGGTGTGAGGGGATTTTTTCCCTTGTTTTTGATCTTAGTGAGAAAACTTGTAGTTTCTCACTGTTAAGTATGATGTTAGCTGTAGGTTTTTTGTAGCTGTTCTCTATCAAGTTGAGGAAGTTCCCCTCTATTCCTAGTTTGTTGAGATTTTTTATTGTGAATAGGTATTGTGTTCTGTCAAATGATCTTTCGGCATCTATTGATATGATCATGTGATTTTTCTTCTTTAGCCTGTTGATATGATAGATTACATTAATTGACTTGTGAACGTTGAACCGGCCTTGCATACCTGGGATAAATCCCTCTTGTTTCTGGTGTGTAATTCTCTTTATACATTGTTGGATTCGATTTGCTAATATTTTATTGTGGATGTTTGCTTCTGTGTTCATGAGAGAGATTAGACTGTAGTCTTTCTTATAATATTTTTGTCTGGTTTTGGTGATAAGGCAATGCTGGCCTCATAGAATGAGGTAGGAAGTATCATGTCTGCTTCCAACATCTGGAGATGATTGAAGGTAATTGACATAATTTCTTCCTTCAGTGTTTGGTAGAATCCACCAATGATATCATCTGGGCCTGGTACTTTCTGTTTTGAAAAGTTGTTAATTGTTGATTCAATTTCTTTGATAGATATAGGCCTCTTTAGATTGTCTAATTCTTGTGTGAGTTTTGGCAGAT